CTGGTTTACTTGGGTTAATCAATTGTCACGGATACCACCAACTAACGTAAGAAGTTTCTATGTGATAGTTTATACACATCAACCCTATTGGTTGACTTTCTAATAACTTGGAAGTTAATTGTTGTAAGGTAGCATTTCCAGTATTTAACTAATATAAAGCATATGAGATCCTTCAACTGAAGGGTACTTTTTATATTATTGCCTTTTAACAATTTATCTTCAAACAAAAGTTTAATTAGACTAGTTATCAACAACAACTTCACTATTTTATTTTGTTTCCTAATTATTAAAACCTTCATGGGATTGATCTTGGACTTAAACCGAGAAAACTACAATTTGACCACTTATACTTGGGTGTATAATATAAATATTAGATCACAAAATAGGTTGAATCAAGTTTTTGGTGCTGTTGCTGGGGAATTACGGTAATTTGAAATTAAATAAAATAAGAAAGTTGTTTATTTATATTATATGTATATAAAGTGTGTTTTCTTTTTATATAGTTTATGTCTGTAGATTCATTAGTAGGTTTGGTAAATCAATCATCTCCTTCATCTTCATCATCTTCATCTACACAGGCATCATTTGAATTAAGTATGGCTTAAAACGTACCTAGGGGCAAGAGCAAGAGAATGATGTAATTCAAAATGTCCGAACCTTAAGAGAATATTTACCTCCTACATGAACCAATGTCCTATCATGTTTTTCTTTTCCAACAGATGCTCAAAATATTAATATTAAGCTAGGAACAATACAACTATTACCACAATTCCATGGTTTGGAAACTGAAAATCCTTATGTGCCTATGAAAAAATTTGAAGAAGTATGTAGAACTTTGCAAGATAATTCTGAAATGGCCAAATTAAAACTTTTTCCTTTTTCTTTAGAAGATATAGATAAATAGTAGCTTAACACTTTAAGAGCTAATTCTATCACAAATTGGCAACCTTTGCAAACTGAGTTCTTTAAATAGTTTTTTCTTGTGCATCGTACTAATGCCCTAAGACATCAAATAATGAATTTTTTCTGTAAAAAAAGGGGAAACGTTTTATCAATGTTGTGAAAGATTTAAAGATCTTCTCCAAGCCTGTTCACATCATCCATTTGAAAACTGGACTCTAGTCAGGGTTTTTATTATGTTTTTCAATCTGCAATGTGTCAATTTGTTGAAATGATGGCCCAGGGGGAATTTATGAATAAAAATCCAGAAGAAGCATTTCAATTTTTTGATACTACTTCTGAGAGTTCCCAAATGTGGGACTCGACTTCTTCAAATATAGTGGAAACTAATCTATCTACACCCAAAAGAGGAAAATATGTGTTAAAAGAAGACGATGATTTAAGAGCTAAAATGACTAATTTATCTCGAAAACTAGAAGCCTTAGAGATGAAAAAAATTAAACGAGTGGCTATTATATCTACTAGTGATCAAATATGTAAATTTGTTTGGAAATTTTATACCTCGACATACCTAAGTATGCATATACCGTTTTTATCTCATCATCAATAATTAACTGTATTTGCACAGCTCCTTCAGGAAAAGGAACGATAGATTCTTTACTTTTGGCTGACGGTGTTTCTTCTGTAGAGATAGAAGAATTCAACGGTTGTGATGGTTCTTTAGGATGTATCGTAGATGATGATCGTGCTCCTTTGTTTGGAATTGGTATAGGGTCGAAGGACCCAAAAGTGACCATTGTCATATTTGCAGTTGTCATTTCTTCCCTAGAATCGAGTTCAATTTTTTTCTTGTTTAATAAATGAAGAATCTTTTTTTTAAGATAAAACATCTTTCAAGGGGATGACTAATAATCCGATGATATTTACAATACTTTGAATTATCAACCCTTCCCTATTCTTCTGTCGCTTGGATGTTGGAAGCTCGATAAGTTTTAACTCGAGTAGCTGATCAAAAATCTGACACTTCATCATCAGTGAAGGAATATTTCTTCTCTTCAAGTTCTTTCAAACTTGGTCTTGTCTTCTTTTGAGTCTGATCTTGATTAAATTTGACTTGGAAGTCTGTCTTTGGCTTTTTATCAAAAATCTTCACCAGTGTAGTGAAGATTGTCAAAGACTCTTTTGATTTGGAGGCTTTCATATCTTTCTTCACGTCTTTCTATACGTCTCTCTTTTCGCGAGGGTCGCTGAGAAAGTAACTTTCGTGCCTAAAAATTTGAATTTCCAAGTCATACGCTCGTATTGCAAGTTCTTCAAACGTATGTGGCATGTTTCCTTGGAGACTGTAGAGTAGTCCCCAATGCATTCCTTGGACACACATATCAATCGAAGAGGCTTCATTAATGCGTTCTTTGTAATTGAGAACAAGACTTTTCCAGTGTTCAATGTAATCAATGATAGATTCATCTTTTCTTTGTTTTGTTCCTGCAAGTTCAGGAAGACTTACCATACGTCGAGTGTTGTAGAAATGAGTGAGAAACTCTCGTTCAAGTTAGTCTTAACTGTTAACATTCCCAGCTGTTAGATCAGTGTACCAATCAAACGTAGCCCATCTAAGGGAATGCACAAATTGTTTCACCATCAGGACGTCGTAGGTACCAGCATTATTGCATGTTTCAATAAAATGAGCAACATGCTGTTTTAGGTTGTCTTTCCCATCAAACTGTTGAAACTTCGGGGGTTGGTAGTCTATTGTTATTTGTATCTCGTCAATTCGTCTGGTATATGGCTTCGCATATACTAACGAAGACTAGGAGCTCCTCCATACTGGGCTCGAATGGTATTAACAATCATATGTTGAAGTTGTTGGACAGAGAGTGCAGCAACAGACATTTGAGAAGAATCTTGCATGACATTTTGTGTCATGGCTCGATCATATTGCTTTTGTTTTTGTTGTTGTTGTTGTTATAAAAACTTTGAATTTTTAAGCATTTTACTACCAGACGGACTTGAAGTTTCTTAACTACTTTCTTTTGAAGGTTCTTGCAATTCTAGCCGGTTCATGAGTACAGCAATTTGCATTTCTTTACCTTCAAGGTCCTTGGTCAACTTCTTGACTGTAGCAGTTAGTTGTTGAAGATATTCTTCGGATAAAGTGGTTTACGTCACCATCACAGGCATAGGCGTATCAAAGAATGCAGAATAATCACCCCACTTCTGTTTAGGAGAAATCTCGAAGTAAGATTCAGTATTCAAGCCTGTGCTAGAGTGTGTGTCGGGCAAAGAATCGCCCGTCTGTTTCTCCAAATCGATAGAAGAATGAACAAGTTGTCTTTTTTTGCTTGGAAGAGCCTTCCTTTTGCTTTGCCTAGATTGATGTTCCTTCAGTGGTAAAAGTTGAGATTTACCCGCCTTTGTTTTGGCACGGGTTGTTGGAATTGACTCCTCGACCAGGTCCGCTGACTTGTTGGTGGGAGGAATCACGATGTCTTTAGTTGTCATTGTTATCAGTCTTGTTGACTTGAGAGAAAAGAGGAAGAGAGGGTCCCACCGGGCGTGCCAAAATTTGTAACGACAAAATTTGTGATGTAAATTAGCACAAAATAAGGTCAAATTATAATAGTCAATTTGATTGACTTTAAGTAAAAAAATATAATGTTGACTCTCTTTGGTGTGCTTCTCACGTGCACTATATTCTGATTCTCGGTGAATTTGATGAAGTTGATGAATTTGGTGAAGATGAGAGCCTGATTGATGTATTTCTCACTCTTCAATTGGTGACTTTGATGAAAACGAAAACTAGATCAATGTATCTCCTACTCTTCAATTTGATGATGCTTTTGATGAATATCCTCATTGTTTTTCATTTGGAATGGGTTGAAGATGATTTGGATTTCTTGAAGAAGGACCTTGGTGGTGTGTTTTTCTTCTTGGAGATGAACTTGCAAGGCTTTAAAACTTTAGTGAATTTCGAGCAGAGTTTCGCCGATCTCTCTTTCTCCTTGGATTCTTCTCTTTGTTTCTCCCTTTTGGCCTACCCCAATACCTCTATTTATAATGGTAGGAGTAGCTATCCATATAAGAGTCCTTATTACTCTTATATGAGTTTTAGGTAGTGGACTATCCATAAATTTGTAAGTTTTATGGAATTTAAGTCCAACCCACTGTACCTTTTGAAAGTTTATTTAATTTGGGCCTATGGAATATAAATCTATTTTAATTTAACAAACTTGATTAATTGCATTTGGACTTGTATTATTAAGGTTATAGAATTTAGGTCCAGTTTAATTTAATTTAACAAGTCTTTTTAATTAAATTTGAGATTGTATTATTTAGGTTACAGAATTTAGATCCAACCCAATTTTATTTATGTAATAGATATTAATTTGTTAATTAAATTTTGAATCTGGTCAATTTAGACAAAAAAAAATTAAAATAAATTGGAGTTAAGATCTGTCAAAATCCGATTCGCAAGCTGGGATGATCAAAACCTTTCAATGACATAAAAAAAAGGAAGAAAAAAGGGTACAGCTTTAAAGGCCAACACTCAATCAACTTTCCTCGAAGGAAAAAGTCATAACAAAAGGGTGTCTGAAGACGGAAGCAGAACAACCTGCTGGGACACACTAGTCTACGGGCAGTCATGTAAGGGGTGCATAGCCCATAATTGCAACTGACCTAACTAAGCACCTAATTATTATTATTATTATTTATTTATTATTATTATTGCTTTTGCTTCAATGTTAAATGGAAGAGGGTAAGGTGGATCTATCAAAGCCAGCACATGCAAATAGGGAGGGGGAGTAAAGGGTCAGCAATGACAGGCCCCCCACTTCCCTTACACATACCCACCATCTTGATGATCGCATGAATTCAGTGTCCTTGTATACGCGTGTCCTCACGTTATTGGTTTGGTTTGTACTAAGTTACACTCCTTTTCTTCTCCTTGAAGCCATTCCAGTAACATAAATAATGACCTTTTAATTGATCTCTCATTCTCATTCTCATTCTCACTCCGTCTCTCTCACTTAGTTATCAAACCACCACCACCACCATTCTGTAAATTCGGACCTGGTCACTCCCAAAGTAAAGTGATCACCATGGCTGAGAAGGTATATGCAAATCTCATCAGATTCCCTCTATCAATTAATTAATTTTCCTCCCTTGTTTCTGGTTGTTTTTCTTTTTTGTTGGCTTGTTTGTATGTTCTTCATTTAGATTAGATTTCTCTTTTCTGCAAACACTTGTGTTGGATTAATTGGGTTGGATTATTCTCCTTCCTGTCTGCGTTCTTGTTTTGATGCAACAAACAGGTTACAATAATGGTGCTCAAGGTTGATCTTCAGTGCCCTCACTGCCGCAAGAAGATCAAGAAAATTCTCTGCAAATTCCCTCGTCAGTCTCCACTCTCATCTTTTTTTTTTTCCTGCATGTTGTTGTTATTCAGTTGTGGTCTTGGGGGGGGGGGGGGGGGGCATATCCATTCACTGGTTTTTTTGAAAATTCTAATTGGAATATCAGTTACACTATTGGATTGACTATCATTAAAAATCGTATTGAATTAAGTCCTTATACCATTGGTCTTGATTTTTTTAATAATTTTTAAAATGTTATCCAGTTTAGGTTCGGCTTAGTATGTTTGTATTGTCATTTTATGAACAGTGCATTGTGACTTTATGTTTGGATAAGAACTGAGTTTTTTTTTTTTTTTTTGTGTGATGTGAAATTTTTGTGACGAGAGAAATTAGAGACCAAACATATGATGAGAAGCACAACACGGTGACAATCAAGGTGGTATGCTGCAGCCCAGAGAAGATTCGTGACAAATTGTGTTGCAAAGGTGGGAAGACCATCAAGAGCATCGACATCTTACCGCCACTAAAGCCCAAACCACCTGAAAAGCCCAAAGAGACTGAGAAGCCCAAACCACCCGAGAAGCCCAAAGAGACACCCAAAGAGACACCCAAAGGCCCGAGAAGCCCAAAGAGAGACACCAAAGAGCCACCCAAAGCGCCCGCGCCACTAAAACCACATCCACCACCGATGCCTGAACCGGTATCTGCATATCCAATTAGGATATGTTGTGGGCCATGTTCTGAAGGTCGAGATGGGGGACCATGTTATCATGGGTACGGAGTGCCTCCACCACCACCACCGGGACCATGTTATGATGGATATGGGTATTATGGGGGTTATGGTAGGGGTTATTGTGGGAGTCGTGGTGATTGTTTTAGTGACGAAAATCCATCAGCATGCACAATCATGTAATGGGTGGTGCGTGGTCATTGTCATGCCCATCATCATGATCAAGCTTTGGATTCTCTTTGGGAAAAAAGTCCAGACATTATCAATTTTGGGTGGATGTGGGTTTTTCAAAGGTATTACGGAATCTAAGGAACAATAATTAATAAGGTTGGTAGTCTAACGCTGACGGCTAAATGGTTGTTGACGTTGTGCTTAAATAAGATGTTAGTATGATGCTTGATTGATAAAAATTTTCTTCATTTAATAAATTGTTATTTTTCTAGTGCATCAAACTATCTTCTTTTGCCTCTCTCTCTCTTACACAAAAGGAATGACAACACTAATTTTTGACAGGATTTAGTAGTATCAATTCTATTCAAACATGTTATGACAACACGGAGAGTGGTATGAAAGTACCCTGAAGAATTTAAACAAGTTTAATTTGATGGTTCAGACCACCGACTTTTGCTTGCATCGTTATCTAAGATTTGTTATCAATTTTATCCTAACCAAACTCATAACCATGCGTTTGGTTTGGTGTAGCAGAAACCTTTGAATGAATTTGGTATTTTCTGTGATTGTTCATGTCCAACAGTGCCAAACTTACCTTTCAGACATCGTTTTCGGTTTTAATTTGAATGTGATTTATTTTTCAATCCCTTTGTCCTAGTCATATAATATAATACAAAGCGAAATTGAATACGAAAGTTAGATTTCCTTCTTATGTTTCATTTCTTATAGTTGCTTTCCACTAGTACTCTCCTTCCAGAAGATGATTTACAGAGGAAAGGTCAAATATGGTTTTGGTTAAAGAAAATTTGGATCACGTTTGATGATTGTGTTTTACAGGGAATGATAAGAGTAGGGTATTGGTGAATCTCAGCTGTCTTTTTTGTCACACCAAACCACCTTCGTTGATAATTTTACAACTAATATGTTTGGGGGAAGGGAAACTTCTTCTTTCCTTCCTTAAACAACAAAAAAGTATTTCCATGTTATATGAAGTTTAAAAAAACAAGTCATGTTTTCCTCTCTTGTTTTTTCTTTTAATTTTACTCCAATTTTTCTTTTACTGAAAAAGAGAATTTATTTTACCCTGCTTTTCCCACTCTTTCTTTTGCAATTTCTCTTCTCTCCCATTCCCTTTGAACCAAACAAACTTAGAAGTTATGCAGTGAGGATGTAAAACGTAACTTACATAATGATAGATTGATGAATAAAGAACAATGTCAAACGTCTCTCAAATAGCATACAAAGTCTCCTTTGCAACAAAAGGTGAAAGTAGGCATGGGAAGAAAATCATTAAAGTGATTAGCTCTACGGCATTTTTTCCAAAAAGGAAAAAAAAGGTGAAATCCACAAACAAAAAAATCCCTGGTCTATTTTGAATCAATCTTAAACTAGCATGTTTTGAAGTGTTGGCCCATTGGGTCATCCTCTGAGCTACATTTTTGCGAATATATGGGCCTAATTGAATCGAACATTGAACTGACAGAAAAATTGGGTCAATGATTCACCGAGAGAAGAAAGGAGAAGACCCAACATTTGTGTGTGTAAACAATGTACGACAAAAGCTTTATATGTGTGTATTACTAATTGTGTGTGTGTGTAGCTAGAGAGAGAGAGAGAGGAGGGCAAAGAATACTTACACAATTGAGGAGGAATACATTGGCTAAGAAGGAGTTCGGGTGGTGTAGCCTCTGTTCGAGATCTGGGTTTGAGAGAATCAGAGGCGGAGAATACTAAAGACGAAGTGGCTGATATTAAGTTTTGAATCAGTGGGCTTTGGAAATCGTCTAGTTCAATGGTATTGGGCAAAACCGTCCGATTTAGAGATTTGATTGCATAGACGGTCTTTTCGATGAACAGAATCAATTTAGTGCCCGATTCACCGGTTCGACCGATCGGTCTATTCCGGTTCAGATAACACTGATTTTTTGGAAGTTAATACATCTCCTATAATTTATTTGGTTTTAAGTACAAACCCAAAATTTTTTTTAACAAAAAAGACACTTTAGAGTATAAAAGACCGAAACATTCCTATCATCACTGGTAGTGTTGAAAAAACTAGATAAGGAAACCGATTATATATATATATATATATATATAATAAAGTAGCTTAATTTCTTTTTTTTTAGCTTTTCACAGCTTAAATCGCTTGAAGAAATATTTATTCATCAGTCTTAATATGAAATTTTCTCCCCCTCCCCCAATCCCAATTTTTTGAGCAAGACTTTCATTCTTTTTACAACTCTAAGATTTCTATCTATCTTATAACTCTATCTCTCTATTTCATTATCTGTCTTGAACTTTTTGCGGTTCAGATTGTTTTAAGATTATTGATCAAATGATCGAAATTCCTCCTCTAAATTTTTTTATGACCCAAAAATTACAAGAATTCTTTCATTTTACTTGATTATCGGTTTGACGTGATTATCATTAGGATTTGAATTGAGTTGAATTTAATTGTAGAGTATAAATTATATATTCTTTCTAAAACTTAACTTTGCTTGAATTTTACAAATATTCAAATTGAAGTTGATTGTAAAAATAATAAAAAATAACTAAATAAATAAAAATTATGGCATCACAATAAACGGGAATAGATAAGAATTAGTTTAAGATAGAAGTGTTAATTGACTCGAACTTAAATTCAATTCTCGATTTGACGTAATTATGATTAAGATCTGAATTGAGCTGAATTTGGCTGTCGAGTATAAAGTATAAATTCTTGCTTAAACTTAAAAGGTGGGGTTATTCCCACCCCCTAAATCTCTATTCCCATCCTATACTACATACACCCCTTTTAAAAAGAAAAGAAAGAAACAAGGAAGAAAGAAAAAAGTAAACTGAAACAAGAAGGAAAAAAAATCAACCAAAGATTAAAGGAACAAACAAACCCGCAAGATGGAAAACCAGACATGAAAAAAAAATATCGAGTACAAACACAAAATCGAACAAGAAAAAAATAACAAACATAGATGCAAAAATTACTCAAGATAAAAAATAACAAATAATCTGAAAGGATACATATATATACACACATATAAATGTTAAATAAAAAAGTATTAAACTTGACAGAGATATCAAAACATACCGAAAATAATAAAAATTCATACAACAAACAGGAAATCAAATATATAATTAAATTGAAAAGTAATACTAACATGTATTTCATTAGAAAAATTCATATTGAAAAAGTATTTTTGTGAGTGCATGAGATGAAATAGAAAATGAAACCCTAATTATGACAAAATATAATATGAGTTTACTTATTAAATAGGGTGTATGTAAAATTAGGTGAATTTAGTTATTAATGGAGTTGATATAGAAGAGGCAAACTTAATAGTTTGATAATGAGAAATTAAATGGAGTGGGAATGAAAATTTGTGGAGTGAGAGTAGTCCCATCCAAATTTAAATTTGATTGAATTTTATAAATATTTAAATTGAAATCAAATAAAAACTGATTTTAATTTCTCAACAAATTTTTTTACCTTTATGAGAATTCACGCGAAATTTTTGAAAGTTTTCCTCACAAAAGTTACATGAACTCACATTTGAAAACATAGTGCAAAGATAATGTTATGAACTTTAAGTAGAAACCTACAGAAAAAAAACTAATTATATATATTTTTTGAAATTTGAGATAAAGTTTTTAAAAATGTTAAAATTATGGATGTTTGATCAATAATAATTATATTTTCTCATATTTTTGAATTAATATATTGCAGTAGTTGTTGCGTGACTTTTGTTATATAAATGTTTGATTATATATATTCTGTGTACAAGTTGAACAATATCAATTTGATTATTGTATTGTTGAAATTGTATTATACATTACTTTTATTTATGAAAAAATATTTACAATTTTTTACGAGTAATATAATACCTTCAGGCATGGATAATTACTAGTATATCTATAATATAAAACAGAGCAGACTTTAATAAGCTCATCTAACGGTCTCAAATAGACTTATCCAACGACCACCAACATTCCTCTGAAAATCATTCACATTTTACCGTACTTTCAGGCACAGGTTAGTATATATTTGATATGTAACCAAATTCAAAACTTATATATATAGACAAATCCTAAAAAATGTTGAAACAGATCTTAAAAGAAAAAAGTAAACAAAATCTGTTATATATGAATCAAGCAAAGAAAATTAAGTAATGAGAAAATATTTAAAACTAACTTGTGTATTTAATAACTGAACTTTTAGGTGGCATTAAACTTAATAACAAAAAATAAAAGTTATGTACTTAAAGTGAAATAAATTCTCCAAAATATACTCACTACAATTTTTTGTAGAAAGAAATTTGAGGCCCTTTCTAATGTTTGGCCATGAGTATGAAGTAGCAACCAACCTCTTCTTTCTTTCTTTCTTTCTTTTTCTTTCAAAACTCAAATTTTCTATGCAAAACTAGAGATGGGAGTACTTATGTTTTTGGTTTAGAATTATCTAGCCACTTTTCTCTTCTTTTTTTTGGCTTATTTTCACATATGTCGTCCCCTAAACATTTGTTGAAAGAGCAATCTATCTCCCTAAACCTCAATTTCTTGAGCCTCTCGAGCCTATCCCTTTGAGTAATCAAAAAATCTAAATTGCAATATAAGAGACAACTCATCTACTTAAAACTAGCCCCAAATTATCAAATATACTTTTTCCTTCTTTACTCATGAATTAACTTTAGAATGTTATTATACTTAATTTATACTCACTACCCATTAGTTCTTGTTCATAAACTTGGCCTTACATCATAGGATCGCACAATTTTTTTTTTTTTTGAACAAACATGATCACACATTTTAAGAGTGAAGCTTATGAGAACACATAATCATACTTACATCCGCAAATAAAAATACCCAAGCAAGCATTACATGACAACATTAACTTCAACAGGAGCATTAGAAAACAATATTGGGTAAGAAACGTAGTTATGGTCTAGGGGGTCATCTCCGCACCCCCTTAGTTTTTGAGAACGACAATTTTCAACCTCTATTTGAATAGTGCTTCATAT